TACATACAAACAGCCCTGTACGAGCCCTAATTAACAAATAACCCTAATTAATCTGGTAGAGGGAAGCAGTAGGGGAGACGATGAAAGACCTGGTAGAGGGAAGCAGCAAAATCATGATTCAGTTACCTTTGACTGGCGACGGGAGGCGACTGGCGATGGGCGGCGACGTGCAGCGGCGACGAGAGGCGGCAACCGACGATCGTAGGGTGGGGGTGGCGATTTGCAGACCGGCGACGACGCAACAGCTTGTGTGGGAGACGACGCGACAGCAAGGGGGTTGTGGAGCGGGAACGATCGAGTGGGAGGAGGCGGGAGGAGGAACGATCGAGTGGGAGTAGGCGGGAGGAGGAACGATCGAGTGGAGCGGGAACAATTTTGTTGAGAGGGCAAAAATGGAAGAACATACATCTGAACCATTGAGGAGCTCTCTAACCCCTAAATCGTTAAGAGGATTTTGTAACGATTAAGAGCTGCTTTTTTTTTTGCCAAACAGCTTTGTACCTCTTAGCGATTAAGAGGTTTCCTCTTAATGTCACCATTAATAGGTTTCCAAACAGCCCCTAAGAAGAGATCTCCACCATCAATACTTAGGGTGTGTTTGGTACACTGCATAGGGACATGACATGACATGACAGAATAAGACAAAGATTCCTATCCCATGTTTGGCATGAATTTTATATGGAGCAGACAGGAATAGAGTGGAACACCCCTACGTTATGGAACAAGGTAGAGCAGACTTATGTTTTACCAATATAATCTCAAGATAAAACTTAATTTTCTTCTAAAACATCAAATAAATCTTTTTTTTTTCTTTCATTTTTTTCATTTTTTAATTTTTATTTATTACATTTTATGTTTCTTAAACTTTTATTTTACTGTCCTTAAAATATTATTTTTATACGGTTTCTATATTTTTATTAATTTATGTAATTTATTATATATTAATAAATAAAAAATATAAAAATAAAAATAGAAAACTACATAAACTTTTTATTTGATGTCATTTTAATGTTTTGACGAAAACTTCAAATAATATATTTTGTTATAAAAAATAATAATTCTAATATAATTTAATAAATTACATAAATTAATTAAAATAACAACTCATCAGGGGTAAATTGGTCATTTTATTTGTTCTATTCTGTCTAATTTTATCTTACCAAACGTTGAACAGTTGTCTTGCCCTGTCATGTTCTCACACCAAACACACCCATAACGAATGTCAACATTAATTAAGTGCATCAGATCAATTCTCTTTTAAAACGTAATTCATGGATGAACATGAGATTAAAAGTGATCAAAGATTCATATATCTTCTTATGTTTTTCACAAGATCCTTCACCTAACTTTTATTCCTTATCGTTTTTTATTACCATTTTTATTTACATACAATTTACTTATGAAGTGTTTAGTCCCTAAGATTTTTACAACATCAAAATTTAAAATATCTAAAAATACCACATTCAATTCTAAGAGTTTCTTTTATTATGAGATTATAGCATTAATTATATTAATAAAATATATTTCATTTATTTAATAAAATATTATTTTTCTCCTACAAATTTAGCTTCGGTGCTTATTATTAGTGGAAATATAATAAAAAGCTATTTCTTTCTTGTACTAATCATATTTAGAAAGTTCTCCAAATTTAGAGGATTTCACAATCCCTCTCTTACTTTTACCCTACTCGAAAAAGTTATTCATAATCTATTAAAGCAAAAAAATCGACCAAAATCTATATTTTTTCCATTTTGGAGAATTTATTACCATTTTGCTATTTAGATTATGTAATACAAAATTAACCGAAAAGTCTTGATGCATTTGGGTGTGTTGTCTTGCCATACGACGGGTGCGTTTTTTTTATGTAACTTGAAAGATGCGTAACTCCACGAGATTTTTTTATGAGTATCATGGAGATGACCAAAAATCCCAAAACAAAGAAATTAGGAAGCTGTTTACTATATATTAATTGAGCAAAGAGACTAACTGTGTCACTTATTTTATGAGGCGAGCATAATAAACACCAAGACTTTGATGCTCACCTGATAAAATAAGTGACATAGTTAATAATTTGGTACATCAATAATTGTATTTTATGTGGTATGGAAATAAATAAAGATGCAATAAATGGATATGGAAATAGCATAAATGAATGAAACCTTAATATTTCACATATTCTTCAACCAGAAATAATCTTTAACACAAACATGTACACAAAACATATATTTATTCAACCTAAAATTTTAGTTAGAGCAACATCCCGCTTTCTTAACAGCAGATACATCATCTTTACCTCCAACGTTAATCGTTTGTCCCTTGGGTACGACCATTGGATCGTTCCCGATATCGAGTGCCTTCTTGCTCACCACATGATAAATCTGAGTCAATACTTCCGTGAAAGCGTTTTCGACGTTTAAGGATTCGAGAGCCGATGTTTCCATGAAGAAGTTGTTCTCTTTCTCCGCAAATGCCTTTGCATCCTCCGTTTGAACGGCTCGTAAGTGACGTAGATCGGCTTTGTTCCCCACAAGCATGATCACGATGTTTTGATCCGTGTGGTCTCGAAGCTCTTTCAGCCATCTTTCGACATTGTCGAATGTTACGTTACGCGTGATGTCGTATACGATCAGTGCACCTACCGCTCCTCGGTAGTATGCACTTGTTATGGCACGGTACCTGTATTTGAAATTAAAGATACAATCAAAGGCCAAAGCTGGATTAGTGGTAGATCCCAACTTTTTTTGAAAGTTAAAGGTTCAAACCAACGGTTTTACACAATAAACCATGTAAAAATGTCACATTTGTAACTCGGTTCTACCAAACAACTGAATTACGACAATGATGGGGAAAAAATTACCTTTCTTGACCAGCAGTATCCCAGATCTGGGCCTTGATGATCTTGTCATCGACTTTGATGCTACGCGTAGCAAATTCAACCCCGATGGTGGATTTGGATTCGAGGCTGAATTCGTTCTTGGAAAATCGAGACAAAAGGTTGGTTTTACCGACACCTGAATCCCCGATTAAAACGACCTTGAACAAATAGTCGTAGTCATCGTCTCCTTGATATGCCCCCATTTCTTTCTCTTGTGACGTTAAAGGGAGATTGAAATAGCGTTCATGGAGAAGACGAAGAAAACGGTGGTGGCGATGAACCGGAAGAAAGCGATCCTAAATTGGTTGATGTGAGAATTTTGTTCTATTTTTTGATCCGATAAATTTGGACGATTGTTATAACGATTGTACTTGTGTATAGGAGAGAGGTGTAAAGAAAAATAAAGGTGAAAATGTGTTATGTCTTTAAATCGAATGTCTGATCCGACCCATAACAAATCAACCCGAAGTTGGCTAAAATTATGGCGATTCTTTGTTTCTAATTCTTCCCATCCATGGATTTAAAAGAAATCAACCTAAAATTCTGATAAAATTATGGATATTTCATGACTCTAATTTTTTACATTATGACGGAGGAAGGAAGCGGTGCCTGTGCCACCATATCCACTAGTGTGGGTCCACACCTACTTAAGACTCGTGCTTTTTAGCCAAAAATGACCCGGCGAGACCTTAACCGGTCATTAGGACCAAATCCTGACCGGTCCGTTAGGTTTATTCTAACATGACGGGTACATATTATAAAAGAATGAAGTGAATAATTATTTGAAAAAATACGTATAACTTTCATTTAACTGTAAGAAGTATCAATTAATTAAATTATTTTTTTAATTCGGAATCAAGGTCTGAAACGAGCTTTTGCTTACGACGAGTATGCTTTTTGGAACTGGTCTTTGAACCTTACTATACCGGTCCATAATCAGTTAACGTGTCATTTGTGGCAAGTGCAAGTCTATGTAGCATATATAATGAAAGGAAAATATTAAAAATACGTATATTTAAATTAAGAATACCGAGTGTGGATTTAGATGAAAGAATTTGTGGAAATTAATAATTATGATAGTTTGAGTTAAAATTATGGCAAATTACATGAAAAAGTAACGTACTTTAACTTGATTCATATTTTGGGTAACGTACTTTCAAAACTTCCATTTTGGTACCTAAGATGTAAAGTTTTAAACATTTAAGTAACCGGGTAACCCAGTAAAGACTAATTTTAGACTAAAAAAAGACTAATTTTAGATTAAAAAAAAACTACGTCACTGACTAGGTCAACAAATAATACCGAGTTGGATAACACATGATTGGCCACAGCAGTATGATAACCGGTTAATACTTCAACCAGTTACCCGGGTACTTAACTGTTTAAAACTTTACATCTTAGGTACCAAAATGGAAGTTTTGAAAGTACGTTACCCAAAATAAGAATTAAGTTAAAGTACGTTACTTTTTCATGCAATTTGCCCTTAAAATTATAATTAGAGGGCTTTTTAGGTATTTTTAGAAAACTCATCTCTCCTCTCTCCGACCTCCAATCTCCGGCCTCCGTGAACATTAATCCGATAGGTACCAAGTAATCATAACGATACATAATGTGATACCCATTGTGATATACTGTGATACCAACTATGATATCAACTCAAACTTTAAAAACAAATATACACAATGTGATATCCATTGTGATATACTGTGATAACGATTTCACCAGAGGCCGGAGATTGGAGGTCGGAGAGATGAGAGAGGGGAGATGAGTTTTTTTAAAAATACCTAATATGCCCTCTAATTATAATTTTAACTCAAACTACCATAATTATTAATTTCCTAATTTATCCGTTGATATATATANTGATGATATCCTGACCTCAAATCGATTTTGGAGAAATAACTTGCACCCACCAATTGATCAAACAAGTCATCAATCCTTGGTAAAGGATATTTGTTTTTAATTGTCAACTTATTCAGTTCACGATAGTCTATACACATTCGCATAGACCCATCATTTTTCTTAACAAATAAGACCGGAGCACCCCAGGGCGAAGTGCTAGGTCTAATAAATCCCTTATCAGTTAAATCTTTCAACTGTGCCACCAATTCTTTCAATTCAGATGGAGCTAAACGGTATGGTGCCTTTGCTACTGGTGCAGCTCCTGGTACAAGATCGATTCGGAATTCAATGACTTTATCTGGTGGTAATCCATATAAGTCTTCTGGAAAGACTTCTGGATATTCACTAACAATCAGAATCGATTCCTCTTTTCTCTTCTCTTTCTTTAAATCAATTACATATGCCAAATATCCTTGACACTTCTTTCGAATACTTTTCTGGGCTTTCTTTACTAACAAAATACTAGTATGATGATTCTGACGATCACCATAAATAACAATTGTTCTCTGGTCTGGCAGAATAATTTTGAATATTTTCTGATTACAAACAATGCTAGCTTGATATTTTGCCAACCAGTCCATACCTACTACTATGTCAAATTCTTTCATTGGCATGGAAAATAACCGAATTGGAAGCTCACAATCCTCAATAACAAGAATGCAGTTATTGAATACTTTAGTAATAGTTTCCTGACTATTAGCAGTATCAACTACTAATTTATCATCAAGTAGCACAAAATTCAGACATGCAGTTTAAGCAAACAATGGTGATACAAATGAAAAGTTTGCACCAGAGTCAAATAATACTTTAGCACGTATTGAATTCAGGAGGAATGTACCTGTTACTACATCCGGTGATGCTTCTGCCTCGTTCTTAGTCACCTGGAAAGATTGTCCCCGCACCCCTCCTTGCCCTCCTCTATTCACAGTAGATCTTGCCCGTGTACCCGACGCATTACTCCCCATTATTAACTGTGGAGTTCTTAACAAGAGACAATTTGGTCGAATATGATCCGGAGAATTACAATTAAAACACCTTCGATTAGCTGGGCAATTTCTGGATAAATGACCTGCTTCACCGCACTTATAACATTTCCTTGGGTCCATCTTACATTCACCCTGATGAATTTGTCGGCACTGTGAGCAGACTTTCTCACCGATCTTTTGTTCCGATCTGTTATCATGTCTTATAGTTTTCGGCCCTCGGAAAGATGAAGGTCCTTCCCATTTTCTTTTCTCAACAACCTTTCCTTCTGATTGTCTATTCTTATTTCGTTCGGTTACCTCAGCTGCCTCTACTGTTAATGGAAAGGTATTGGGGTTCATATCAATGACAAACTCCCTAATTGAGGGTTTCAAACCCCAAATAAACCTTTCTATCTTCCTGGATTCAGTCGAAACATAATGTTCGGCAAAACGAGAGTATTCAATAAATCTTTCGGTATACTCCCGAACTGTTCCATTTCCTTGCTCTAGTTTCAAGAAATATTCCTCCAGTTGTCTCACTGCCGTTTTAGGACATAATTGATTTTTAAATCTATCCACGAATTCTACCCACGACAAAGTCTGTAAAACATCCGTTCTGGTAGACGATTCAACTTCCCACCAAAATAAAGCATTTGACTTTAATACCGAAACAGCAAATTGAACTTTATCTGTTTCCGGACACCGAATGGTGTTGAACACAGATTCCATTTCCTTGATCCAGCACATTGCTTTCWCTGGATCTCTCTCTCCAGAAAAGGTTGGCGGTTTGCATGCTAAAAACATTTTAATATCTCCTTCTTTATTGTGAGTGATTGGAGCAGAGGGATAAACTTCTATTCTTTCTGTTTCCACTCTAGCCGGTATTCCCATAATAGATGTCAGAGTTTCCCGCAATTTCCCCATTTCTTCTGCCAACATATCTCTGGTTATATATTCTGGGTGTGGCACCGACCTTTCCTGAACATTCCCAGAGTGGGCTTCTTCTTGTTCAGATTGTACTTCAGTCCGACCCCTTCCCTGAGACTGACTTCTTCCTTTGTCTCGTCCCCTTGGTCTTCCCCGACCTCTATTTCTGGACGTGCTAGTTGGAAAATTAACAGGTGACTCTTCCCTTTCTTCAGACTCTGGATGAGCCGTTCTTTCAGATCTTCTAGTTCGGCTAGACATCTGTAGAGTTTAGTGTTAATAATCACGTATTCACATTCCCAAATATAATGAAGTATTCAAGTTCAGATGTGTACCTGTAAATTCATAATTACATTGGCCAGATGTAATTAAAATTTACCTTATACACTGTTCTTTTAACTCATCATATTTATTTCCAATGGTGCTAACTATGTCCGGGACCCTCAACATGCAATAAAACAGTTTAAGTCTAGGTATCATACTGTTAAATACCTAAATCCCTTAAACTCAAGCTTTGATACCATTCTGAAACACCCCAACCCACACATTGCATGTAACACATATTTCATACAAAAGAAATACATATTATTCCATTGAGGTCCTTAGTACAAGAATCTAATATGACTAAATACAAGGTCCAAAATTTTAAAATACATTTCTTGTACTAATCAATCAAAACTGTACATCAAAACAGATCTTCAAGCAGAAATGCATATAGGAAAATATTAAATTTNTATATATATATATATATATATATATATATATAAGGCCTAATCAAATGAGAACTAATTAGTTTGTGGAAACCGTGAGGTCCAATCTCAACCACAAATCAATAGATAAATTAGAAAATTTATAATTTTGGTAAATTTGAATTAAAATTTTAATGCACGGACATCTTAGGTATTTTAAAACTCTCCTCTCTTCTCTCTCCTTCCTCCGACCACCGTCCTTCGGTGATATCACAGTGGTATCACAATGCATCTTATATGTATTTGGGTATCACACTGAGGTTGTTTGTGTGGTCGATTGGAGATATAAAACAGTGGTATCACAATGCATTTTATATGTGCTTAAGAATCACACTATTTCTTTTGTTTAACAGAGTCAATATCTTTAGGTATCACAGTGGTATCACTGGAGGACGGTGGCCGGAGGACGGGGGACGGAGAGAGAAGAGAGGAGAGAGAAGAGAAAATACCTAAATGTCCTTGCATTAAAGTTTTTATTCAAAATTACCTAAATTATAAATTTTCTAATTTATCTATTGATTTGTGGTTGAGATTGGATCTCACAGTTAACACAAACTATTCAGTACTCCTTTGAATGGTGAAACACCCCAACCCACACATTGCATGTAACACATATTTCATACAAAAGAAATACATATTATTCCATTGAGGTCCCTTAGT